GGCCCACGTCCTAATTCTTTTACCAAAAGAAAAAAGAAAGCTCAAGGCTAGAAAAGGGAGAGAGCAGTTATGGAATGGCCTGGAATAAACCCAGCCAGAGCCCATGATTCAACCTCCTCTACACGCTCCAACTGGTCTTCAGGGAAGGGTTGAAATGGAAATACAAAACCCCAATCTCAACTATCCTCAGTCCAAAAAGTGCTAGGAAATTATACCCTTCATTTGTGTGTAAGCATCAACATTTCAGACAGACATGGGCTCAAGTCCTGGTTCAATTGCTTTAAAGATTTATTTATTTATGCATACAAGAACTGGGGTACAGGCCAGAGGGCAGGGGGTGAGAGGATTCACCAGAGACAGAGTGGGAAACAGAACAGGCAGACTGAAATACACTGCCGAAGGGAGCAGCGGGCGAGACAGGAGAGGACGGCTGTGCCATGTGGGTAGCTTCCTGGCCGGGGATCAAACTCATGGTGCAGTGGCTGTAGACAGCTGCATATTTGTGTCTTAACCCCTTGCGCCACCAGAGAGGCCCCTCAATTGCTTTTTTTTTTTTTTTTCAAAGATTTATTCTATACAAGAACCGGAGTACAGGCCAGATGCGCGTGAGAGTGAAAGAATTCACCAGAGTGGGGAACAGAACAGGCAGACTGATGAAATACACTGCTAAGGGGAGCAGTGGGTGTGACAGGAGAGGTCTGCCGCGCCATGTGGGACCCTCGCCGGCCAGCCAGGATGAACCGGCATTGCAGAGGCTGTGGACAGCTTCACAGCACGGCGCTCAACTGCCTGCGCCACCAGGGAGGCCCATCAATTGCTTTAATTCCATTGACAAAGCATCTTTTGAGTGCCTGCTGTGTGCAGGCACTGTACTGGCCACTAGCGACAGAGCAATGAATAAAACAGACAAACCCTGTTTCTGTGGAGTTTCTGTTCTAAAAGGATGTGACATAAGGAGATAAGAAAAAGAAAGTGGAGAACGGAGATAGAGCGGTGAGGACTCCTTAAAACCATTTTTTAGAATGAAACTTTTTATGGGAAACATACCACAGTCAGAGGCATATGAACAGCTCCCTCGCGCCAGTTTTCTCTCTTGGACTGCTGTGTTTTGTTGCAAGAATTTCTCCAGATGTGTTTTATCTGTTACTGTTTTAAAGAGTGCACGTTCGTGATCATCACTGTGACTTGGAGATGATAAAACATAGTCTTAAAAAAAAAAACCAAACAACTGGGGCCTCCCTGGGGGCACAGGGGTTAAAGACACAGCACCATCAAGCTATTGCCAGCCACTGCAGCATGAGTTTGATTCCTGGCAGGTCAGGGAGCAACCCACATGGTGCAACAGTCCTCTCCTGTCTCCCCTCCCTGCTCCCCTCAGCAGTGTATTTCAGTAGATCTGCCTGTTCTGCTCTCCCTTCTGTGTCTGGTGAATCCTCTCACCCCTGGCACCTCTGGTCTACACCACAGTTCTTGTATGCCTAAATAAATAAATCTTAAAAAAAAAACCCAACTGATTCATAGCCAGTCTGGGGGTAAAGGATACTATTATTTTAGAGTAGGTGATTAGGGAGAGCTTCTCTACAGTGGTGGCATGTGAGCAGAGGTGAAGTGAGTGAGGCCATTCAATCATCTTGAAGAAATGTGTTCTGGTAGAAGGAACTCTAGTTAGTACAAAGATTTTGAAGTAGAAACAAGTTTGGGCACTCAGGAAATACATGTGGAAGAATTTGGGAGCAGCAGAACCACAAGATCCTGGAAGAAGGGCTTGGCTTCTTTGAACCTTGAGTTTCCTTGTATACAAAATGGGTCAAAAAGAGGGTGGTGGTGAGGATTAAATGTTTCTGCCTGTTATGGGGAAAGGGGAAAGCTAGCTGAGGAGGCCAGTATAGAGACAAGTACAGGAGGAAAGGGGCTTGTTACTCTCTCTAGGGGTATGTGTGTGTAGTATTTTTGAGAATCAGGAAGGTTCTAGGGATCTGCTAAGTTTGAAAAGAGCTAAGCCTTCTCTTTTTTGACTATCCAGAACCTTCCAGGAAACTCCATTCCATTTTTTAAAAAAAATATATATATTTTAAAGATTTATTTATCTATGCATACAAGAGCTGGGGTACAGACCAGAGATGCAGGGGGTGAGAGGATTCACCAGAGACAGAGTGGGTTACAGAAAAGACAGACTGGCTGAAATACAGTGCTGAGGGGAGCAGTGGGCGAGACAGGAGAGGTCTGCCTCGCCATGTGGGTGGCTCCTTGGCCGGTCGGGGATCGAACTCGTGCTGCAGAGGCTGCGTAGTGCTTCGTAGTGCTGTGCTTAACCCCTTGCACCACCCGGGAGGCCCTTAAATATTTTTTAAAAGATTTATTTATTGGGCCTCCCAGGTGGCGCAGCGGGTTGAGCACCGCATTGTGAAGCTGTCTGCAGCCTCTGCAGTGCAGGTTCAATTACTGGCCGGTCAGAGAGAAACCCACATGGTGCAGTAGACCTCTCCTGCCTCACCCGCTGCTCCCCTCAGCAGTGTCGTTGGTCCGTCTGCCTGTTCTGCTCCCCGTTCTGTCTCTGGTGAAATCTCTCACCCTCCCACGCCTCTGACCTGTACCCCAGCTCTTGTATAAATAAATAAATCTTGAAACAAAAAAGATTTATTTATTTATGCATACAAGAGCTGGGGTACAGGCCAGAGGTGTGGGGGGTAAGAGGATTCACCAGAGATAGAGTGGGGAGCAGAACAGGCAGATGTACTGAAATACACTGTTGGAGACAGTGGGCCAGACAGGAGAGGTCTGCTGCTCCATGTGGGTCACCTCCCTGGCTGGGGATCGAACTAATGGTGCAGTGGCTGTGGATAGCTTCATAGCGCTGCCAGGAAACTCCATTTCTTACAAGACCTCACTTTCTCATTTAGATGGGAAACTAAGACACAGTTGCTGGGGACTGAGAAACGTCTGACAGATGAGTAGGGGACTGCACGCTGGGCAGCCAGTCATGGGGGAGTCCCTTGAGGAGTTTCAGGATGGGATCAGAGAATCTTTAAATCTACCAGAGAGGGACCAGGGACACTGACAGGAAAAGGAATGAACCAGACACATGGAACAGAAACAGCAGAGATGACGAGATAACGGAGACACAGAGGAGACAAGGGACACACACAGGTAGACAGGGTGAGACAGGCAGTTGCAGAGAGAGAGAACAAAGGCAGACACAAACATGGGTAGGCAAAGCAGACAAATGGACATTGAGCGACCCTAGAGGGAGACACACAGATTCGGAATTGGAGGGACAAGTCAGATGTAGAAAGGGCTGCTCCTTAGGGAGACCCGGGCTGTCCCGTTTGGGGGCAGGGATTATGCTGATTATAAAGGACTCCCCCACCCCGCCCCAGTCGTGCCGGGGCAATGACTTTAGAGCTCCAGCAGATTCTATAAATGGCCAAGCTGCTGCCGGCCTGGGGTGGGGTGCTGGGGGCGGGGGGGCGGGGTTCAGTGAGTCAACGCGTGCGTCATCGCCACCAGGATCCCGCCAGCCCCTCCTCCTTCCCGGCCACCAGGGGGCGCCAGCCGCAAGCTCCGCGGAGATGGAAGATCTCACAGGTGCAGTAGTGACCTGCGACCCACCAAGGGGTCTTTGGCCTCAGCAGGATCTCAGAATCTTGTGTTTGATCCCTGCTTCCTCCAACCTCTTGCCATGTGACCAGAGTAGATTGCATCCCTCTCTGCCCCATATCGACCTCATTTATGAAGTGAGGAGTTAGTTAATAGATTCAAGGCACTTAGTAATGGGAATTGTTAGTTCATTTTGTGTACTGTGCACCTTCAATATTTCATCACAAGTTATTACCTTGTCCTTAGCACACTACCTTAGCCCAATCGTTCTCAAACTGGGAGATCTGCATCCTAAACCTGCCCGCCTCCCCTGCACCTCAAACACACACACACACACACACACACACACACACAGAGCATTTGGCAATGTCTGGAGATATTTGTCAAGACTGAGAGGGGTGTTACTGGAGGCCTACCAGCATCTGGTAGAAGCATACAATGTCCAGGACATCCCCCACTCTGTATTCCCCAAGAATGATCCTGCCAGGATGTCAATAATCCTGGGGTGAGAAACCATACTTTAGCCTCATACAATTGATTTCCGCTCTGTCGTTGGCAAACTGGGATGCCATAGTCCTGTGACTCAGTTTGCCCACATGTAAAGAACATATAACAATAACATCCACTTCTGAGTGATGTGAGGATTGAGTTGACATTTTGTCCAGCACTTGGAATGGGGCCTGACACAGGGGCTGATGTTATATTAGCATATCATAGCCCTCCCCTTAGCACATGGCCAGCAGATTGCATGGCCTTAACATACCAGTACACGGCAGGTTGCCAACATGTCACCCAAGTGCCATCATTAACATGTTGTGGCATGAGGACCTATCACCCACTACTGCTTGCAGGAGTTTCCTCCAGGCCAGCCCATTTTGGACAGGGACATATGGGGGTGACCATGGCCTGGGACCTAAACACAGTCACTCTGTGACTCAGGTGGCCCACAGGTAAATGGGCAGAGTGACATCCAGGATGTTTGCTCCCGCGGGTTCTTATTTTTTCTGACCTTCTCGTGGCTCTCATGCACTCTCATTAGCCTATTTTACAGATGTGGCAACAGAGTCTCAGAGAGGGAAGGGATGTGGGTGTTAGTGTCTGGAGTTAAATCCAGGTGATACTCAATAAACTACCACTGTGGCAGTCCTGCCTCAAGACTGGGGAGAGATGAAGAAAGATGACCTCAAGACACAGTGAGATGGCCTTAGAAACAGTCACAAAAAGACTCAGAGATCCAGTCAGACGCCCAAAGAACAGTGTGTTGGGGGGGCAGCAAAAGGAGAAAGGCTGGTGTTTGTCTGGCCAAGCAACACCCCCCCCCAAAAAAAGACTCTGGGCTGCCCCCCTAGGTGGAAACAATGACACAATCAGCTCCCAATACCAAGGCCCTGACATCACAAGGGGGGGTTGGCTGATGTGGGGGCATCCCGCCCCTTGGCAGGCCCCTACAACCAATGGGACAGCTTTTGAAGAGGCCCGAGCCGCCTCCTGAGCTTCAAAAACGTGTGAGGAGGGAAGAGGGTGCAGACGGAGCCTCAGCTGCTGCCACCACTACCACCACTGCTGCCCATCACCCACCAGCATGTCCTCTGCTCACTTCAACCGAGGCCCAGCCTACGGGCTATCAGCAGAGGTCAAGAACAAGGTAGGGCTGGTAGGCCTCCCACCGGCCTGGCCCATGTGCCCTGCCAGAGGCCCTACTCTTAGGGTTCCTTGAACCCCCTCCTGCCTATCCCCATGTGACTTGGAAACTGAGAGGGAAGAGGGACAATTATGGAGTAGGGGCCACTTTCCTCCAAACTGATGAGCATCCTAGAGCTCTCAGCTACTGTTGGGGTGAATGGGGAGCACACAGGCAACCACATTGAGAAAAACCCACTATATCAGAGTCCTGTTAACTCTTTGTGTTCCTGGGGGGCTGGAAGGCATATGATATTCTTCACACTTCACCTGACAAAGAATTGGGGAATGTGTGAGAGTTGGGGTTACTGGGAGGTGAGACCCAGAAAGTGGGAGACTGTGAAGGGAGGAGATAACTGGGGAGGGCAGAGAGTGGGTATTAGGAACAGGGCAGGACTCTCCTTATTCCTGGTGGGGAAGATATGCATACACCACCTTCATGCTATGCATGGTGAGGTGAAGTTCTGAGAGGACAGGCAAATAGCTAGGGCTTTTGGTGTAGGACTCAGGCCCTACACCATGGGGTCAGTTTCTTCAGGGAGCTAATTTTAAGTTCCCAAGCCCCTGAAGTAGTCCCATGAGTGGGAGGGGAGGAGTCCCAGTCCCATTTGACAGAGAGGAACATTGAGACACAGGTGGCTTTTCCCCAGTGAAGAGGCGGGGGCACTGGGATGGGAACCAGGGTTGGGGGAATCCTCTGGGTTGGCAGAGGCAGGTGGGGAGCAGGAACTCTGGACTCAGCCAGAAGCCAGCACTGCCCCCTTCCCCCCAGCGCCAGCCCCACAGCAGATCGAGCAGCCTAGCCATATAAGGCGGCCTCAGGGAGTCCAGCCTGCTGTGCTGTGCTATATAAGGGCCGGTTTGCTTTATAAAGCTGGGCTATTGGGGTTGGGGGGAGGAGCAGCAGGACTGGGGCCAGGTGAGGGGGCTGCTCCTTTCTCCTTCCCCCAACCCAGGAGAAGGGGTAGGCTTGTTCCCTAGAGGCTGGGAGCCTGTCTGGACTCAAGGGGGGGGGGGGGGATGGACGAGTGGGAAGGGGAAAGAGCCAAGAGTCGCAGTGAGATTGTGGAAGCCTAAGACAGAGAGAGGTGGATGAGAAAGGGTGAATTAGGGGTTAGATAAGACTAAGATCTGGATGGAGAGTGAGACAGGACAGACTGCACTGCCCCCACCAGAAGCAAGGAACCTGGGGTCTAGGAGGCGAAAGAGACCGACAAAGGCAGAGATGGACCAGTGAGGAGCCCAACCCCCAGTCTGATCCTCAGAGATGGGGGCGGGAAGACAGAGCCAAGCAAAGAGAGCTAGGGGAGGGCCCACAGAAGGAACAGGGATGGGGAGAGGGAAAACAGGCCTTGTATGGGGCCAGGAGTAAGACAGGGCAATCCCCCACCACTAATCAGGGAAGGAGACTCAGAAAGCAGGACTGGGAGACACTGAGATAGACCAGACAGAGCAGTCACCAGCAAGGCAGCATTCAGGGATACCTCCTTCTGCCTGAGTCTCCCTGTTTTCCAGTAGGGGGGTGGAAAGGGGCAGGGCCGGGGAAGTAAAACCCCAAGTTTGGCCTGGAGGGAGAGCCAAGAGGCTAGGCACCACCCCCACCCCCCACCCCGCCCCCAGCTTGGAGTATCTTGCTCTCCACCCCCTTGTCTGCATTCTCTGGTGCCAAACCTCAGAATGCTTGGAATGGGCCCCCTGGGCAGGTGCCACCTCAGTCCTGGCCCTTAGTCTCTCCTCCCTTACCCCCCAAGGATGTGAGGACAGAATTGCCTTAGTTGGGAAGAGACTAAGAAGGAGATCAGGCCCAGGGAGTCTTGGATTGGGTGCAGTGCCAAGTCTGTGTCCCACTGCACACTCACGGCCTTCTCTCTTCCCCCACCCTCAGCTGGCCCAGAAGTATGACCACAATCGGGAGCAGGAGCTTCGAGAGTGGATTGAGGGGGTCACAGGGCGTCGCATTGGCAACAACTTCATGGATGGCCTCAAAGATGGCATCATTCTTTGCGAGTGAGTGGGGTATTGATTGCATACTTGGCCTTGTGCTGCCACCTCCCCCCCCTCCCCCCCCCCCCCCCCCCCCCCCCCCCCCCCCCGTCACTCTTCTCTACCCCTCCACCACTGAAATGACTATGAGCTTGGAACTGTGTTGGGTGCTTTTTAGCTGAGGCCTTGAAAAAGTCATCAGAAGTGGCAAATAACCCCATGTGGTAAACACATCACCCAAAGCCCAAGCTGTTCTAATGGGAACTTTCAGAATCTAGTTGTCCTAACCACCAAGCATACCAGGCAGGCCTGCTTACGGCTTCCAGAATCCGAAGAAAAGGGAGTCACAACTAAAAGGCGATAGGTAACAACGGTGGCCCATTGCTAGCTTGGTGACATGAAGGCAGTGCCGGTCATTTTAGTAGGCCCTGATTTTCTACCCCTCTCAGAAACCATTCACACAGAGAGACGCAGACCCTCACAGCTCCCAAGCTCTGAATTCACATTCCATTGCCACTCTATGCTGGGTGGGGCTCTGATCCCAGCCAGGGTCCCCTTTCTTTTGTTTGGCCCAGGGCAGGGTGACCATGAGGACAGGTGTGTCCTTGGGGACCTTTCCAAAGGTACAGCCTTACCCAGACCTAGGTCTTGGAAAAAGACAAAGCAGGAGACATCACATTCTACCATATCCTCTAAGAACAAGGAATGGAGGAAGTTCCTGCTGTTCTAGCTTAGATAGGGCTACTTGGGCCTTAGAGTTCATGCAGTCATTTAAGCACTTATACATTTTATGGGGTGACTGCTGTGTACCTAGACTGGTCTAGGTCCTGGGGACAGTGAATAAAAGAGGCTTTAATTATAGTGAGGGAGATGAATCCAACGTTAGATGAAATCATCACATACTTGGCTATGGAGGGAAGTGTCAGAGAGGAGTCTAGAGGACAGGGAAGAGGGAGCAAGGGTTGCTGCTCCTACAGAATGTTCTGGGAAGTCTTTCTAAAGATGTTACATTTTTGCAGAACCTTGGAATATGTGTAGGAGGGAGTGGGGAGAATGGTACGGGTAGGGGTACAGCCAGCACAAAAACCGTGAAGTTGGGAGTGCACCTGGTTTGCTAGCATGTCAGCACTGAGTGATTAGGAGGAATGTGGAAGTTAGCTGTGGACCAGGTCATGGAGAGCCTTTTAGTGATTTAAAAGTTAGGATTTTATTCTGAAGGTACTGGAAAATGTTGGAAGGTTTTGAACTGGGGATTAACGTGAATTGTTTTTAAAAAGGCCCTTCTAGCTGTGAGATGAAGAAGGGTCCGTAAGGGATGAGGTGGAAGCTGGGAATCCATGGGGAGACCTCTGCAAGAGCCCAAGAAAGCTACTTAGGACTGAGAGCTGGATGCAGATGGAGGAGCCTCAGGCTTCCAGATGTCTTCAGGGACAGAGTCAGAGGACTGCTGAGGGATTGGATGTGGAGGTGAAAGGGAAGGACAGTCAATGGCAGATTGGAGGGCTATTCTAGGCACCTAGAAGGATGGATTCACTGAGTCAGAGAGACTACTGGGAGTTTTATTGGAGGAGGTGAATGTTAGGAGTCTACGGGAAGGTACATTTGATTTGAGTACCCATAAAGGGAGCTGGATTGGATGGTAAGAGGCCTGGCAGTATTAGGGAGGTATTAGGGAGTCACTGGCATATCACTGACACTTAGTTCTAAGACACTGGATAACATCAAAGGGGCCAGTGTGGCCAGAGAAAAGCACTTTGTTAGTGGTCCGAAAGACAAAAGATGACTACAACCTGGCCAGTGAGGTAGGCACATACCAGGAGTCTCGGGAGCAGAGACTTTTCTGACCTGGCACTCAGTCTACCTCCCGAGGGGTTTAGCATCTCAGTCTTTGAGCTCTGTGTGGGCAGGGTGGCGTGGCTGCGGCTGAGAGCTGATTGCAGCGGGAAAGAGCAAACTGGTATGGCGCACCACTATCATCCTCACCCCTTGCTGTTAGGTTGGGAGTGGGTTGGGGCACTGGGGTCACCTGGTCACTGGGGTCTCCCTGTTTCTTCCTCTTTGTAGGTTTATCAATAAGCTCCAGCCAGGCTCTGTGAAGAAAGTCAATGAGTCGACCCAAAATTGGCACCAGGTGAGCCCAGACTCTTTTGACCCTTTCAACTTCTGGCCCATGGTCCCTCAGCCTTCTTCCCCACCCCCCTGTACTTCTTACCCCACTAACCACGCTCTCTCCCCTCTAGCTGGAGAATATTGGCAACTTCATCAAGGCGATCACTAAGTATGGGGTGAAGCCCCATGACATCTTTGAGGCCAATGACCTGTTTGAGAACACCAACCACACACAGGTTCAATCTACCCTCCTGGCCCTGGCCAGCATGGTGAGTGGTCAGGAAGGGCAGGCATAGAGTGGGGGCCGTGGACTGTCTGGGTGGGATGTGAGTGGGGCATGGGTAGCAGTGGCAGATCAAGTGAAGCAAAGCATCTTCGAGGGGAGAGTGCATGCCCAGCCTGCGGCTCCCTTGTCAGTCCCTGCCTGTCTTGCCCTTCCCAGGCCAAGACAAAAGGGAACAAGGTGAACGTGGGGGTAAAGTACGCAGAGAAGCAGGAGAGAAAATTTGAGCCAGAGAAGCTAAGGGAAGGACGGAACATCATCGGGCTGCAGGTACTGCCCCCCTTCCTCACCCAGGTGGGCGGCTGAAAAGGTGGGGAGGGACTGGATCCCGAAGGCTATTGTGGGGACTAAATTATATGCTGAATAACGAGCTTAGCATTTTCCATACATGAACTCACTTCTTCAAAAGTACTGGGGGTTGGTACTGTTGCCATCATAACCTTTGTACAGATATGAAAAGTGAGGCCTGGAGAAGCTAGCTTGTTTGCTGGATTGCCCCGGTGATGAGTGTTCCGACTGGGACTTGAACACTGGAAGTCAGGTCACAGTGCTCTGAGCCTGACTGCAGTGCCCTCCACAGGCTGGCATGACTGCACCAGGGACCAAGCGGCAGATCTTCAAGCCAGGGTTGGGCATGGCGCACTGTGATACTCTCAATGTCAGCCTGCAGATGGGCAGTAACAAAGGGGCCTCACAGCTGGGCATGACGGTGTATGGGCTGCCACGTCAGGTGTATGATCCTAAATACTGCCTGACATCTGAGTACCCGAAGCTTGCTTACTTCTCTGGGCTCATTTCCAGTTTTTAGCCCTGTCTCTGGGCTCATTTCCAGTCTTTAGCCCTGGGCTAAAAACTGTCTGCTGAGAGTGCCCTCTAAGTTCCCCTGAAATTGACATGTTTCATGGCCCATGGTAAGGCTCTGTAACCCATGGGTGATTCTCCTTTTGGCTCCCTAGATGGGCACCAATAAGTTTGCCAGCCAGCAGGGCATGACAGCCTACGGCACCCGGCGCCACCTCTACGACCCCAAGCTGGGCACAGACCAGCCCCTGGACCAAGCCACTATCAGCCTGCAGATGGGCACCAACAAGGGGGCCAGTCAGGTATGTGTGGGGCCATGGGGTTGGGTTGTGGGGCCAGTGCCTCTTGATGCCCATGGACTGACTGCAATGCCCTCCACAGGCTGGTATGACTGCACCAGGGACCAAGCGGCAGATCTTCGAGCCAGGGTTGGGCATGGAGCACTGTGATACTCTCAATGTCAGCCTGCAGATGGGCAGTAACAAAGGGGCCTCACAGCGGGGCATGACGGTGTATGGGCTGCCACGTCAGGTGTATGATCCTAAATACTGCCTGACACCTGAGTACCCAGAGTTAGGGGAGCCCACCCAGAATCATCACCCACACAACTACTACAACTCTGCATAGGGCCCTGGGCCTCCCTGCCTTCCCCCAGGGAGGCTGGCTGCTGCTCTCGGCAGGGCCTAGCTTGGCCGGCCGGCCCCTCCCCCTGCATGGCGTCCTCCAGCCCCCTGGCACCTGCCTACAGGGTTAGCGTTTGTGGGGAGCAGACTGAGGGCCCCGTGGGGGGAAAAGGACCCTCCTCTCTGTAGCACTGGGTCCAGTATCTAGCCAGGTGTTCCCAATAGCACCCAAAGGTCACAATGAGCAAAGCTACTCTGGCTGTCCCCTCCCAACTCCCTCACAGATGGGTCCCCCAGGACAAGAAGCCCCGCAAGCAAAACCCTCAGAGCCTGGATCTGCCTGCCCCTACCCCATTCCCACAGTGGGAACAAACTGCATGCCCAGAGACCCAGCGGACACACGCGGTTTGGTTTGCAGCGACTGGTATAAGTGGATGTGACAGTGGCATTTGTGACTGGAGCACTTTTCTTTTTCTATTTCACTGGAGCACAATAAAAGGCTATAAAATCACCTGAAGACTCTGGCTGCTCTGTCTCAGGACCTGTGGGGCCACGGCGCACGCACACACGGACACACACACAGAGTTTTGCTTAGATGCTCTCCACCTCCCATACACATTTACATACACACTCTCATACACAACCTAAAACACACACACATGGAGCTCCAGGCACCTGTATGATTCACATAAGATCTCCACACACACACCATTTTGTGTGTACGTGCTCTCTGCAGACTTAGGCACAAAGACTTCCCTTGCACACAATTCATACATGTGCAGTATACATCCCCACCCATGATGCATAAAAAAGCACTCCCTCACACATGCTCACTATCAATATTAATATTCACAATCTTATTTTTTTTTTTTTTAATAGAGGCATGTTTTATTTATTTATTTATTTATTTGTTTGTTTTTGTTTATGCATGCACTGGGTACAGTCAGAAGCGCGGGAGGGTGAGAGAATTCACCAGAGCCAGAGCAGGGAGCAGAGCAGGCAGAAGGACCGAAGCACACTGCTGAGGGGAGCAGCGGGCGGCAGGAGAGGTCTGCGCGCCATGTGGGACCCTCCTCCGGTGGCCGGGGAGCAGCCGGGGATCGAACCGGCACCGCAGAGGCTGTGGGCAGCTTCGCAACCCAGCGCTCAACCGCTGCGCCACCGGGGAGGCCCTCACAATCTTATTTAAATGAGACAGAGCAGGACAGAGACTTCCATTAAGGCATAAATCAGACTACAGAACCCATAACAACTTGCTTGTTTCCTTTTTGTGCAGAAATGAGGGGATATGTGTGAGGCCATGTAGGTGAGGGGTCCAAGGAGAGCAGCCAGAAGTGCACATGGCTATCACCATGAATGCACCCTTGCCTGTTCGTTTAACTGTTCTGTTTCTGAATAAATCCTGTCTGTGACTAGCTGATTGCTCGCTCTCTTTCAGCACTCAAATACCATCTTTGGGGATCTACGGGAAGCAGAGAGGAGCCCAAGGGCTGAGATGGGCTAGATGGGCTGTGAATCAATTCTGCAACTCCCTAGCTGGGTGACCTTGGGCAAGTCATTTCCCCTCCCTAGACGTTTCCTGGGGTCATGGAGAAGTGAAAATGGAATGAGCCTCCACATGGGAAATGACATTTGGCACTCATCAATGAGAATGGACAAGCTCGGTCCTGAGTAGGGCAAACACTTTAGGCTGGGAATAGAGGTGGAAAGTGGGGAAGAATGGGCACTTAAGGGGCCCAGGGCAATGGTCCGTTATAGACAGGCAGAGTGGTAGAGCATTTCACTTTGGGGCACGGTTGCCCCATGTACCAAGTTCTTAACATCCTCTTCTCAGGGCTGAGTCCCAGGTCTGGCCTGCAAGCCTAGGACCCATGAAGCCTGTGGACAGGGCCCCAACTCTCCTTGCCCCATTTCAGAGGGGAGTCTGCTCTCCCTGTGATGAGGGCCTCAGTCGTCTGCTATTGTCAAGGTTTCATGGTGAGGATGCAGCAATGTGGGGGCACAAAGGAGTCTTCTCCCCTTTCTTCCCCAGGGCAGCAGATGAGGCTGGAACATGGGCAACTGCAGAGACATACCCCAGAGGACCTGCATGTAACAAACACAGCTCTGGAGCCTTGTAAATCAGATTCCAGGCGCTCTTGGCTACCCTGAGTCTTGCTCCCCTAGGACCAGTGTGGGGAAGCTATGCTGAGGATCCAGGCCTGGCCCAGGGCCCTGCCTGCTTGGGAAGACGGCACCATATTAGAACTTGTCCTGTGAGACTAGGTTGGGCGGGAACTGGAACAAGCCCCCTCTCCACCGGATCCTAAAGAGCACCTCCCACACTAGGCGCCTGTCTTAAGCTCTGTCCAAGTCTGCTGGTCTTGCCTGGTGACCTTACTTGGGTCCTTCGTGGGTGGAATAGAAGCCTCTGGGAGGGGGTATGTCAGGTCAGGATGGGCTGGGGGAGCAGATGGCAGTTGGGCCTGGTGGCTAGGGCTTCCAATGAGCCCAGCATCTTCCTTGGCTATTCACATCCCTCACTACACTGGGTGGTTCTGTAACAGGGTAGTCCCCAGGAAAGGGGGAGTTCCAGGTTTCCTGCCCACCCAAAAGGAGGGTGGAGCCAAGCAGGGAGAGAAGCTGCAGAGGAGACTGAGGGAGGAAGGAAGGAAGCAGGAGGGAGAGCCAGAAGGCGACCTGGAGGAGGCACATGGAGCAGAGAGACATGTGAAGAAATTGCACTTGCCTTTTGGTCATGGCCTGGTTGAAACATGTGGGTGAGAGACCCGCAGGGAGGTGACAATGTCTTGATTTTGATTTTGCTCTTTTTCTCCCAGACTTGTCTAGTTGTTTCTGATTTCTGTGGGTCCCCACTGGAAGATGCTTTAGACTTGTGACAGGCTTTGGGGCCTTGCTCTGGGCCAATCCTGCTTGAGTGAACTTTTACCCATGAGGGATGGGTAACTTTGGGTGCCTGATTTAAAAACTATATTCTTTGCCTTTCCTGTATTGTTTACTAATTGCATTAAAGTTTCTTTTCATTAGTCTCACATGTTTTGTGTTGATGTGGCGGATGGCAGAACCTATTTAGAGCTGCAGGTTTGCAGGGTCTGGGGTGCCCCTCTCCTTGCCCTGTAACAGTTCCAAGTCACTTGAGCTCTGTGCTCATCACCCATGAGACCACCTCAGGGCATCATTAAAGGACACCCAGGGACATACCATCAGTCACATAGATATATTCTTTTACCACCTCTGAGCAATTACTGCAGTTCTGACACTACCTACCTGGTGATAGTGTCAGATCCCACCAGTGAAGGACTCTATACTACAAGACTGCCCCCTCCCCACCTTCAGTCGGCAAGTCCAGGTTTGTCATCTGTGCTTCTGAACAACCAGCTATACATCAGTTTCCCAGAACCGCCCCTCTCAGGTTTGACTAACTTACTAGGACAGTTCACAGAACTCATAGAGAAGTATTTACTTACTAGATCATCTTTTACTATAAAAGGATGTAACTCAGGAACAGCCAGATGGAAGAGATGTACGGAGCAAGGTGTGTGGGGTTCCCATGCTCTGAGTATGCCCCTCTATATGGCACGTCACCTGTCCAACCTGGAAGCTCTCTAAATCGCCTTCAAATTTCTAGAGCTTAATCTATAGCTCCCTCCCTCCTTCTCAGAAGTGGGGTGTGTGTGTGTGTATGACCTTTCTAGCAACTGGCCCTATCCTGAGCCTATCTAGAGCCCCATGCTAGCATAAACTCAGCTGTGCTCAAAAGGGGTTCCTTACAAATGGCAAAAGACACTTATTAGGAAATTCCAAGGGTCTTAGGAGTTCTGAGCCAGGAACCAGGGACAAAGACAAATGTTTCTTTACCATGTAGCTAAATCAGACTCCAAGCTCAGCCCTAGACAAAGGTCCCTTGCTCCTCTCCAATGCCTCTCCTCCTCCAATAGTTCCCAGGATGACCTGGCTCCAGTCGTCACAAAGAAGAAAGATTTCAGGCTATGGAGCCAGACCTCCTGGGTTCCAGGCCCAGCTGTGTTGCCACTGGCAGTGGACTCTTGGACCAGTGACCTCACTTTGGTCAATTTCCTTATCTTCAAACACCAGGCACCTGCTCCACAGGGTGGCAAGCGATTCTGAGAACAGTGTCTACAGTGGTATCTCCTTCAGGTCACCCCCCTCAAGACTTCCCTGACCACCCACCAATTCTGCCAACTTGTTTTTTGTTGTGACTGCTATAAAGGCCTGTGGATTTCTTATATACAGTAGACATGTGTGACCCTGAATGTTGAATGAGTAAGTCAGTCCTTCAAACTGACTGAACCTTACCTCCGATGGTCTACTAGATTGCCTCTGAACACCTTCTGCTTTCAATAAGCCACTGCGCCTGACCCAGAACCAAGGAAACCATAGCCATTCAGGAGTTCCCTTGCTGCTTTATTTAAGGGCTTGTGACACACAGTCGTCCATGACCCAGTCCCTCCCTCCTCTACAAAGCAACTAAAATGAACAGGGTTACCCTGTGAGGGAGCTCACAGGACTGTGGCTTTGAACCCTAGGCCACAGGCCTTGGAAGTATGGAAAGGAAGGCGGGCAGTCCAGTTCAAATGGACCAGTTGCTGGGGAGGTGGGCAGTCTTCTGGACTTGCCCTTTCTAGGATCTCAGGACAAGGCCCCCAGGAGCCAGGGACTACAGGAAGGAGCATGTAAAAGGATTTTGGAGCCAAGGGAGGCAGTTCAGGCCCCTGGGGCCCAGTAACCCCTCAGCTCCATCCCATGCCCACAAGCAAAACCCCAAAGCCATACCTGCAGCCATACACATTCACACCCACTCTACACACATACAGAGGCTGCAACAGTCCTGGACCCACACCATGGACCTTGGAATGTCTCTGGGTTGGTACCCTTTGGGTGGGTCCCTGGTAGGTGGGGCTGCATAGTGTGGGAGGGTCTTCTTTGTTGTTACTGATTGGCTGCCTCGCAGGCATCTATCCAATCACTGTATACATCCACTGGTTCTGACAGATCTGCGTGGCTCAGGTCAAGGGTGACTGATAATATCAGAGACCCCTTCCCACATAGATCTCTGTTGCTCATGTCAGTGTCAGTCATGCCCCTACCCTGCATCCTACCACCACGTGGTGCCTTCCTCTGGGTGGCCACAGCGCTGCTCCAGGGCACTCAGTTTAGGCATTGGATTTCTGCAACCTTGCCCTTGGCCAGTTGCCCTTGAGCAGTCCAGCCTAGGCAGGTAAGCCCTGACCACCCTACCCACATACCCTGGAAAAAGCCCAGCTTCCCAAGGATACAAGTGATGGGTGTCTGGAATTCCTCTAGGCACACAGTACAAGAGATGACTCCGGTATTTCGGGCACGATCCCTGGAATGTGAGGATGTGGAGGGACAGGTGAGCAGGGAAGCTTGTGGGTGATGTTCCCTCTGACTGGGAAGGCCCGGGGCAGAATGAGGGAAGGTGGAGGTAGGGGAGCACCCCTGAGACAGGGAAGAGAGGGGAGGCCCCATGAGGCAGGATCCCTGGCTCCCCACCTCCACTCACATTTTTACATCACAAGACTTCTCGTGGTTGCAGAAAGGGCAGGTGAACTGGGTCTCCAGGGTACCAGTCATCTTTTTCTTGGGAGGTGGCTTCCGTTTTGATTTTCTGCGTCCCATATCTGTAGGAGAGTGAACCTGGGGTAGGGGACAGAAGTTAGTGACTTGTGGGACCCATTCTGCCCTCCAGTTAAACATTCTAGGAAGCAGGCCCTGCTGGCCTATGGTGAAGGGAGGACTTGCACAAGGGTGCCGGAGCGTCCCATTCCTTGGGCAGACAATCTCTGCAAACTCAGGGTAGGGCAGGTGGGATTGGGTTCCTTGGTCAGGTGGCCTGGGTTCAACCCTGGCTTCCCCACTTACTGTGTGACACGGGGCAGGTTACCAAACCTCTCTTGCCTCAGTTTCCTCATCTATGAAACAGAGATAAGGCTGCTCTCTCAGATGGGTCTCGTGGGTCAAGAAACAGTAAGTATTAAGCACAGGGCCTGGGCCGTCATTGGCACTTCCACAAAAAGCTACTGTTCCTGGTGAGGATGGCAAGGGATTCTGATAGGCCAGTGCTGCAGGGCCAGGGAGAGCAAGTGCATCTGGAGGAATGACACTCAGGGATTAGAGACACTCAGAGTTTCCAGTCTCTGGGCCACCTACCTACAGTTTGGGGATGAGGCAGGTGGGAGAGAGAAGCAGGCTAAAGAGGGAACACTGGGGCCTTTCTGGCGGCACAAGGGGTTAAAACGCAGCACTATGAAACTATCCACAGCTACTGCAGCATGAGTTCGACCCACATGGTACAGCAGACCTCTCCTGACTAGCCCGCTGCTCCCCTCAGTAATGTATTTCAGCCAGTCCGCCTGTTCTGCTCCCCATTGTCTCTGGTGAATCCTCTCACCCCCAACACCTCTGAACTGTACCCCAGTTCTTGTATGCATAAATAAATAAATCTTTAAAAAAATAAAGAGGGAAGACTGACAGGCAGGAGGGTTTCACATGTTTGGATGAATCCTGGAAGGTGTGAGATGTGAAAGGATGAAATTGCTTTGTATTTTTAAGAGATTGAAAAGTAGGGATCAAAAATCAGACTTCATCTGAAGTCACAACCTGTTTGGGGTGAAGAGAGTGGTAGGTGAGAGAGACTGAGCACGGTGAGCGAAGTAAGAGTCCAAGGTAACTCCTAAGATTGTTGTGCGGACAAGATTGATGGGTAGGAGAAGGTAGAACCATTCTTTGAAGCAATGAAGAACAGAGTGCTGGGGAAAATGACTGGGTTGGAAGCCAGAGGGATGGACATCCAGAGACAGATGTCTTACAGTCAACAGCTCCTACTGAGCCATCTGCCATGCCAGGTGCTGCGCTCTGGGTTTTGAAATCACTGTCTATGAACCTTTTAAAGTACTCCTCTCTGGCTACCCCCAACTCCACACTCCACTGCTGGCTCCAGCATAATTCCTCCACAATATGGGAGGTCGCAGCTTTGGAATAAAGGCCAGATTTTATTCTTAATACTGAATCCTTCCTACATAGACCCATTCTTAACTGACTGCTTCCAATTCGCCAAGCAAACAAAAGTTATTAGCAGAGAACAGCCACAACCAGGACTAACCATGCAGCACTCCCTCCTTTACTATAGAAGAATATTTATGCTCCCCACAAAAGCCCCTTGTTACCTGGACCCCAACATATTTTCTCTAATGGATATGAAGAAACATTTGTTATTGCCTCTCACATCATTCTCTGCAGGTTTTTGTTAAGATTTATTTATACATACAAAAACTGGGGTACAGGCCAGAGGTATGGGGGGGTGAAAGGATTCACCAGAGACAGAGTGGAGAGCAGAACAGGCAGACTGACTGAAGTATACTGCTGAGGGGAGCAGCAAGCGAATCAGGAGAGGTCTGTTGCGCCATGTGGGTTGGCTCCCTGGTGGGGGATCGAACTCCTTCAGAAGCTGCAGATAGCTTCATAGGTTGTGTCCTTTTTTTTTTTTATAAAAGATTTATTTATTTTTATACAAAAGCTGGAGTACAGGCCAGAGGCATGGGAAGGTGAGAGGATTCACCAGAGACAGAGTGGGGAACAGAACAGGCAGACTAATGAAATACACAGCTGAGGGGAGCAGCAGGCATCAGGAGAGGTCTGCCGCACCATATGGGACCCTTGCCAGCTGGCCGGGATCGAACAGCATATGTTGTGTCTTAACCCCTTGCGCCACCAGGAAGGCCCAGGCTTTTTAAGTAGAGCTGGCGGCACTTACTATATCCCTTCCCATTCTTTCTCCATGCCTCCCAGTCTCTATGCTGCCCACTACATTGCACAGTCTGCACTCAGGACCCTGGACACATTGGTCCCTCCTCCAGTCCTTCCCTTGGGGCTCTTAAGCATCTGTATATCTGCCCAGGCCAGACTGGTGGCTCATTTCAAGTCTGTGGCTGCTTCCTATTCTCTTCTCTTCTCTAATTATATTATACAAGAGCAGGTCACTCTTGTGGCCCTCTCTCTCAACTACACTTGTCTCCCTGGTGATTCTGTCATGTCTCAGGGTTTCAAATGCCTCCTCCACAATGACACATCTCTTTTCAACTGCAGACTTGCCCTTCTATCTGTCTTGGTCACACGTCCACCTTGATGCCAACAGAAGTTTAAATGGAACTTGTCCAAAACCAAGCTACTTACATGTCAACCTGCTTTCCCATGGTCTTCTCAGGAGATAGCAAACCCATTTTTCAAAAAACCTCAGAGTCATTCTTGATTACTCTCTCTCTTCCCCCCATTATCTGATCTTGATCTTTCTGCTCTGCCTCTAAATACATCCACTTCTGACCACTAACCATCATGGTCTGAGTCCTGGTCATCTCTATCTTGAATTATCACAGCAGCCTCCTCACCTCCCTGCATTTCCAAGCCCACCCCCCACCATCCAAATATAAATCCATTTTTGTCCTTTCTTTGTACCCCCAGAGTGTAAAACTAGGCACAGAAATGGTGCTCAACGAATATTTACTGAAAGAATGGATGAACCAATGCCAGGACCTGGGCTAAACTACAGCAATGTACAATCAAGGTAGACAATGTATCCGCTCTTGTGGAACTTGTATTCTAGGAGAGGAAGACACACCCTTAACAAGCTAACCAATAAGTGAAATAATTACAAATACTAGCAAGTTGTGAAGTTAACAGAAAGGAGCTGAGTGACTGAAAGGGGTTACTTCATAAAACAGTGGAGGGAGGACTCTTTGTAGGTAAAAATCTTATACTGAGGCCTGAATGATGAGAGAAGACAACTAGGTAGAGTAGTTCAGGCATTGGGAATGGCAACTGCAAGGCTCTGAGACAGAAGTTTTTTGTTTTGTTATTCCCCCAGAAAGAGTTATTTTACCCAGCAGAGAGATATCTGCTGAAGCTCAGTGAGCAATGGGTAGAGAAGTATAGACGCAACAGAAGAGGACAGAAGCAGCAGTCAGACCCCACAACACACTGCAGGTTTTCATAAGATGCGGCCATTTCTGGACCCCATACTCTCACTTTCCAGGGCAGTGTTTTGTTTTGTTCTATTTTTTCAAAGCTTGGCCCTGTGTACCACCTGCAACAAAATCACCCACAGTGTTCGAAAATGCAGATTTCTAAATCTAACCTCAGAACTTCCCCCACTAGAATGAATGTCAGTTCTGTAGGTGGGGTGCAGAATGACTTGCTCAGAATAGTGTCCAATACACATTAAACTCTCAAAAACTACGTGTTGAATGAATAAATCAATCTCCTAAATCGGAAGTTAGGGATGGGTCCCAGAATGGGTAAAATAGGACCCTTGTTTTACCCGCTGACTACAGCACCCCCAACTTCACCCCAGAAAAAGGGTCTGGACTGCATAAAGACTCCCGGGGCCTCTACCTGTCCTGTGCCAAGCGCACCAAAAGGGGCTGCAGGAGGGGCCAGCATCCGACTGCGTGTATTTCTAACTAGCTCCCCGCTGCCTTATGTCCAAGCGGTCCATTTTTTGACCCCGAAGGTTCGGCGTCGCCCCCGCGCTGGCCGCCCGTAGGAGCCAGGCCTCAGAGTAGGCGCGCGCTGGTTGGGGCACTGGGAAAGTCAACATCCCTGACGTCCGCCTCCCCGCCAAGCCGGAGGCTCCTCGGCATCTCCTTCAGGACGCCCCAAGCAGAAGAGCACCCAGTCCCGCCCGGCCCCAAAGCCCGCCCGCGGGAACAGTCACCTGCACTCTTCTTTCCTTGTTGCGACGGCCTCTTTCACCAAGGAGACAGGGACTTCCGGCTCGCGCAGGAAGCGGAAACCCCTCTCACGTCCCGCCCTCTTTGGGCGGAACTTCCGGGTGATCAGGATCCGCCTCCTTTAGTGTCTTTGAGCTCATGCGCACTAGCGTGCATTTACAGGGAGGCTGTGTTGCCTGTGGGAGGGCCTGGCTGTGTTGCTGCGCAGTCAGCGGCTGCTTTGCGTGTCAGTTCCCGTTTCAGGAGCGTAAACGGTCGCTTCCTCTTTCTGCCGCCGTTTCTCCTCCCTGGCACGGGCTCATATACCTTCTCTCCACTCCAAAACCCCAGGTTCTCACAGCCGCCCCCCCCCCCCCCGCGTCTCACATTAAAATATTCCTGAGGGGCATTTCTTCTCTAAGGGGGAAGTTTGTACTAGTCACTCTTCTCAAACGTTAACAAGAACCTATAAATCTTACCAAAAATTCAGGTTCTGATTCATTAAGTTGAGAGTGGGATCTGGAAGTCTCTATTTCTAAGCGGTCCATTTTTGAATTTCAAGATTGTTATAGGTGAGTTGGTAGGAGCCAGATCACGTTGGGGGTTTTGTAGATCACGGTAAGGACGTTTAAAATGGAATTTTAGCCAAGAAATGATGTTTGGTTTGTGTTTTAAAAGCCTACTTTGGGTGCTGGGTGCAGAATAGGGGTAAAGGGTAGCTGGGAGACCAGTTTAAAGACCGCAGCAGTTGGATGAAGGATGGTGATGGCCTAGGGTAGTGTTGGCAGAAGTTTAAATATCTAGAAGTTTAAATATCTAGAAGTTTAAACATCTAGAAGTCTAAATATGAAACTAAGTAATGACTTTGGAGTTGGGGGAGGGACAAGGGAATAAGTCTCCACTAGTCTCACAAATTAGTGAAGTGGTTGGATGTAAATATCGAGGATTACTTAATATCTTTTTAGTATAGGAGAGTGTGGGATCTCTGAGAGCATATGGTGGGGGCTGGGAGGCAGGCTTGCCAAACTAGCCTGAGAGGTTAGGGAAGGCTTTTCTGTGAGGCTCCTGTTCAGGTTGAACTCCTGAATGGAGTTAAACAGACAGAAGTAGCACTTACTGAGTCTATGATGGAGTGAAGGAAAGAGGAGTTTCAAGGATGAAATCTCTTGTCTGGAGCCCCTGGCTACTTAATCAGATAAAGAAAGCTTAAGGGAGAAGTCAAGAGTTGTCTTCTGGCTAGGATAATCAAGGGAGGTATGTAGAAGGCCATTGGAAGCAGGCACCTGGAAAAACTGCTGGATGTAATTTTGAGAGTCATCAGCATGTGGAGTTTATTTGACGGCTTGGGGGAACTCACCTGGTGTCAGGAGTGAGAGGCAAATTATAGCAAAGTAAGAAGAGTAAGAACACGACCTGGGGATCCCCAATCTTAGGGATTAGAAGGATGAAGAGAAGCCAACAAGAGACTGGGCAGGGTAGTGTGGTTAACAGGAGGAAGAAATGGTGTCCTCTCCTGGAGTTCCCCAGGTAAGATTTTTAAGATGGGGCGAGTAGTCAATTGTGTCACATATGGTTGGTTAATTAAGATGAGGAAAGAAAATTGAATGTTGACTTTGGCAAGCAGCTGGTCACTGGTGTCCAGTGATAAGCTGTGTTTCATTTGCATGTTCAGGAAATGAATTTGTAAGGAATGAGATTTATTTCAAACAGACATATGTTCAAGATGTCCCCTAGGAGGCAGTGTAGCCCTCAGCACTCCCTCCGTGGAAGACCTTACTCAGGGCTAGTACAAAGTTGTACCTTCCTAGATTGTGATCATACTATACACAGCACCTTGCAACTTGCTATTTCCATTTAACAATCAGTATACATACAGTTACCCCTTGTTTTTATTTTTATTTTTTAAAGATTTATTTATGCATACAAGAACTGGGGTGTAAGCCAGAGGGGTGTGTGTGTGTTGGGGGGGGAGAGGATTCACCAGGGAAAGTGGGGAGCAGAGCAGGCAGATCTACTGAAATACACTGCTGAGGGGAGCAGTGGGTAAGGTAGGAGAGGTCTGCTGCACCATGTGGGTTGCTCCCTGGCTGGAGGAAGATCGAGTTCATGCTTCAGTGGCTGCGGATAGCTTCATAGTGCTGTCTTTAACCCTTGCGCCACCAGGGAGGCACCCCCTTGTTTTTAGTAACTATAATTCATAGTGTGACTCTGCCATAGTATATATGGACAATTCCATATTTGCTTGACTGCCAGGTTAGTTCTTTTTTCTTCCCTTCATCCTTCCCTCTCTCCCTCCCTTTTCTTCCTTCTTTCCTTCACAGCTTTATTAGACATGATTGACAGATAATAAATGGCACATTTTAAATTATGAAATTTCATATTTTAACATTTGTACACTGGTGAAACAAACCATAACCACAATTGAAACAGTGAATGTTTTCATGATCCCAAGAAATCCCCTCATGCCTCTTTGTAGCCAGTTCCTTCCTCTGCTCACAACCCCTGTTACTGACTCAACTGTTGTCAGTTCCTATAGCTTCATATTTTCTCAGAAAGTCATATAAACAGAATCATACAATAGTGTAGACTCTTGAGTTTCTTTTACATAGCTTACTGCACTGGAAATACATCCACTCATGTCTATCAGAAGTTTTTTTTCTCTCACTGAAATGGGTTCCATTGTATGGATTACCACAATTTGTTGATCCTTGCATCTATTTTTTTTTTAAAGATTTATTTATTTATACATACAAGAACTGGGGTACAGACCAGAGGTGTGGGGGGTGGTGAGAGGATTCACCAGCAACAAAGTGGGGAACAGAACAGGTGATTGACTGACATATACTGCTGAGGGGTATCTCCCTGGCCAGGGATCAAACTCTTGCTTCAGTGGTTGCGGATAGCTTCATAAGTTGTTTCTTAACCCCTTGCACCACCAGGGAGGCCCCTATTCTTGCATCTATTGATGGTCATTTGGATTGTTTCCAGTTTAGGGCAATTATGAGTGGAGCTACTATGAACCATCTCATTTAGATCTTTGCATAACTATTTTCATCTGTGTATTTTCAAGTTTTAGATATTTATTAATCAGTATAAACCCCAACATGATACACCAACATGATTACATGCATTAGAGGGGACTATTTCCAGGTTAAGGGGAAAATTGCATGGTTGGCTTCTGGAAGACCTTCATCTTAAACAGTTTTATATTGAAATATTTCATTTAGAAGTCTGAACTATCTTCCTTCAGTTTGCTGTCATGTGCATTCACTGAGTAGAACTCATATTGATCATTGGGACCCAGTTTATTCCAGGGTCTGGGTTATTCTTTTTGTCTTGGCCTGACCTAGGATCTGGCAGAGCATGTTTGCAAGAGAGGCCTTGGGCTGGAAGGAGAGGTGAACAAATCTTCAAAGCCTGCAACTAAGTCCCTTTTACTGTGTATTATCTCTACACTGAAATATGTTATCCCTCTGGAATTCATTTTTGTGTATAATAGGACGTAGGATTCAGGCTTTATCTTCTTTTGGGTAAATTGACAAGGCAAATAATGTCTTTTCCTGTGACGTTGCATTGCCACCTTCAACATATATCATGTTCTCATGTGTTCTGAACTTGTTTCTGGATTCCCTCTGGATGTTTCCCTAGAGCCAGTGTTGTACTGTTTGCTAACAATACATTTTAGTCATTGAGAAGACAGGCCTCTCACCTTCTTATGATTCTTGGCCTTGGTGGCTGTTGATCAGGGGTTTTTGCTTAACTCTCCAGGGATGACATGTTTACTGAGTGAGGGTGCTGGTACCTGTCCCAGACCAGGTATGAGGGATGGAATGGGGAGATGATAATATCCCTGATGGATGAATCAGACACAGTTGCTCAAGAAGAGTGAGAAGAGATGGCACTGGCTCTGAGAAACTCTGCCATGTTGCTCCTTGCCATTTAAAGGCTTTGTTGGATACAGGGGCAAATTCCCCCACCCCATCTGGGTTCTCCTGAAGTTGGATGGATGAACAAATTAACATCAGATAAATCAAAAAGGTCAAAATTTAATAACTTTCATACATAGAATTTAGATAGTTGTAAATTTCAAAGAATGATGGAGTGGACCAGGGATATTTGCCCTGTGTTTAGAGACTTAGGGCATCAAAGAAAGGGTGAGACTTCACACAGACAAGGAGGGAATTACCTTATCTTACTTTGAGAGTAAAGATGAGATTCTCAGATAGAGATGACATGTTCACTGATAAATCTACAAGTGAATGAGACCCTCAAACTACCTGCTAGGTTATCTGATTTGGAAAATGGCAGAGGCCTGGATGGGATCTTCTTGGATTAGAGAAGGGTGAGGGGCTCAGACAAGGACAAACTTCTCAGCTTGAGGGGCCCTCTCTGTGCTCAACTCAAAATAATCTGCATGCTTCAGGTAATGGCAAGAGACCTCCCCAAGTTCCTCTGGCCTTTAGTTCTTGCCAAGGCAACACTTGGCAAGAGACCTGCTCTGGGCATAATTGAGAAAAGTCTATCTGACCCTTTTGGGGAGATCAGTCCCACAGCACCCCTGACAGTGGCTGTGTACTGATTGGCTTGTCTCCTGAGCTGGACAGTAGCTGTCCTGCCTTATTCTTTTCGGTGCTCCCACTCCCCTGCTGCTGGGCACCAGCCTCGTGCTCAGTAGGAGTGCCAAGTCTGTGGAGGAAGGGCCTGGGTGACAAGCCTCCTCCCTGCCTCCCCATCCTTTTTCAGCTTGGATGTGTCACTTCTCCTTTCCACTCTCTGGGCCTTGTGAACTGGGACATTGGGCTAATTCCACACTCTAGGCCCTGCAAATAGGCACATTGGGGTGACTGCTGACTCAGACCCCTTCCTACTCGGAGCCTCTGAATCAGTG